TTGGGAAATAATTATTGCGGGATGAAACCGGCATTTCTATACTACTAACGGTGTTTGGGAAAACGCTTTTGATATCGATGAAATGTGTCCTGAATACAAAGTCTGTTAAAATTATCCATGCTCCGAAAATACAATAGACTCTCTGTATATTATTATGTAATCGTTGTCATTTGAAATAATATTTTTAGCAATACATTCTATTCAGTTTATTCATGTATAGTCGATTTTAATCGTTTTACATTCAATAAAATGATCAAGTGATACATAATTAGTAAGTTCAATGTACTAGTAGTATACATAACAGGATTTGAACAAAAATGTGGCATGCTTAGGAATCTTAAAACGTATCCACATGTTATGAACTATAGACACTCTTGGACTAAAAGTTTATTATAGAAAATCAACACCAATGTCCTTATCCACTATAAAATAATAAAAAATAAACCATTTTTGACACCAAACTTTCTATCATCAAGCTGCAAAATCGTTCTCGGTTTGTTTGTCACCTACCTTTGTGAAATTGCTGCAAACTGAAATGAACTAAAAGTTTATCGAAAAAGATAAGAAAAAACCACAATGTGTATATTTCTTTTTAATACATTTATGTATATATATTTATAATTTTTGTAATGTAGAATAATTTCTATAGAATAAGTTTTTCTATTTATACACTTATATTTATATACTTTTGTGTTTTTTTTGTTATTTATTTAGTTTTTTTTTTTCAATTTGTTCCATTTATTCATTTCTCTTCATTTTTTCTCATATATATACTTTTTAATTTGTTATTCATTTGATGCTGCGAACGAACCTTGTGCTATTCGAGCAAATGTTTTTTTTTTGTATGGCGATTTTAAGTATCGCTGCTTGATGTTATATCATGTTTTGTATTTGTTTGGTTGTAAAATAAATAAATATTTGTCGACTCTTCTTAAATAGAATAGTTGTTGTTGTTCTTTAATTTGTCTATGGACCTGCTTTAGGTGTTTGTTAGTGTTGTGTGTGTTTCAGTGTGCGTTTGTTCATTGAAGGATTTGAACACAAGAACAAACACACCGACTTTTTTCTTCATAAAGTTTTGCATGATTTTTTTTTTGGTACGATGCAATTTTTGTTTGCTTTTGTTGTATAAATCAGTTTAGTCACGGTATGTAGAAAGAAATTATTTAATTGCTAAGTATTTGGATTACTGTTTTTTTTACTTAAGTGGAATAAATCAGTTCTATTTTCTGGTTTTTCTGGTTATTATGAATAGTTCAATCGTAAAGATAAGAAATGTATGTCCTGTGTCGGTGCTTTTGGTAATAGTTTGAGAAGGGAGTTCGTTTCGAATAGGTCAAAATTCATTCAAACTCTTCAAGATTAATGTGCTTTTAGAATATCTGCGAATTTGATCCAAATCGAACTACCTCCTACCCTCGCCGTCCATTCAATTGCGAAATAGGAATAAACTATTCATATTTGGACTGGTTTACGGATGATGTTTGGGTTTCTTTCTTCCGAAGATATTATGTCCAATTCACGATATTTTTGTTTGTCTAAGAGTTTTCTAACTCAAACAACATGTACATACAATAAATTATCTGAATCTGAATTGTTTTACTTTCGATTAATGAAACGGTGTGTGTGTTTTTTGCGAAATGCGTTTAATTGTAAAGAGATGGATGTGTAGGTTTTTGTTTAGGTAAAGGTAAGAATCGTCGATTTCCTTCATTTTTGTTGTTGTTACTTGATTTGCAAAAGTTCTTTAATGAGTCATTGTTGAAAGTTTTATATTATTTTCGTAGTTTATTTGTTGGCATATTTCATTGCAGAGCATCGTGCAATGAACAATGGAGTCCATTTCAACTCCATTTAATTTTCTCTTTTCTTTCTTCATATTTCTTAATTTGTGTGTGTGGTTATGGTTTCCACCACATTTTTTTTTGTTGTTTAAATTAATAGATTATATCCAATAACTTAACTTAATTTTCTAGAATTTTTTAATATTTTTTTTTTGTGCTTATTACTTTTTTTAAATATATTTGTAGTTTACTTTGTTGTTATTTTTTTTGCACATAACCAATGTTTACATATTCTCATTTTTTTTATGTAATTTCAAATAGTAATATAATTAAATATTGGTTTGGTTTGTTCTTTGTTTGCTCTTTCGGTTGAAAGAGTCTTTTCCATAACTTAGATATATAACGTAATGGTTTTTGTTTGGTGATGGTATTGATGTCGATTTGGAAATGTCCGACACCAATATGAAAATTTATTATGATACGGACTATTTTTTTTATTTTGAGTGTGGACGAAATTGTATGAATGAACCAAATTCGCCCACAACACGATACAACGTTTGAATTTGAATTGTATGGCCGTGTGTGCGTTTTCACCTCAGTTGTGATACAAAGTCACAATCCAAACAGTAGAACTTTTGATATATTAATTTATGAAATAGAAAATACAGTGACCAAATATGTAATGAATAGAATGAATGGAACGTGTCGAATTGAATCGAAGACAACATTTTTTTAAAGAAGAATTTGAAAGGATTCAATCGATGGTTTGTTATTCATTCTAGTTTAACGAGATTATCTGGCCAAATTAAATCTATTTCATAGAGCCCCATTCTAAGTTTGGACAGCAAGTTGCTAACATCTGGATTTCAAATTAATTTGTTGAAAGAAATCAAGAAAAAAATGAGTAAACGGTCAAAACGAGAATTTAACAAACAGAGGCTTGTTGAAGGTGGCTCATACCTGTTTGAGAAATTACTCGATAAGCGTTTAAGCTATTCAATTATGTTGAACGAAAGATGGATTAATTTGGATCAGTGCTTGTTTGATCGTTCGTTTTTCATCAAAGATCACTTCTTCGATCCCAACGAACAAATCGTTCTTAAAGCTCAAAACTCCCACATTGATCCTGTGAAAGTAAGAAAAAATTATTTGGAAACAAATTCATTTGAAATAGATGTTTGTTTAGGTAATAGTGTCGATCATAATAGTTTTCAATTTTAAGGTAGGTACACCCACATATAGGAAATCTCAACAGCTGCAACTGCTCAATTTCAATCTGTTTTAAATTCCATTAAAACCAAAAGGTAAAGCTCAAGATTTATTGAATTAAACTAAGAATGTTTGAACAAAAGTGTGTTTGTATATGATTCAATTGGAACAGTTGAGCATGGTGAGACTTCAGATTTCAGCAGCGTGGCATATGCTGCGAAATGTTAAATGGAATCATTTGTCAGGATAGTTTTGGATTTCAAATGTTTATACATCAATGTGTTACAGCAGTAACATATTAGAGAGTGTTTACACCAATTTGTCTGACTGCATGACACAAATAGTTTCAAATTACTTGAAACGTATCTTGCAGTATTGTCACTGATTGATGTGTATCCTGATAGCTTTTAGTATTGTATTCCATGGAATTTTCGACGATAAATAAATGCAACAAAAGAATCGATCTCCACTCGAGACCAAAAAAATGCTGGCAAAAAAGAAGTGGTTTAGTGTTTGTATTGAGACCATCGACTATCAGACTACAAATCAGCTTTTAATCGGTTCAATTGAATGTTTTTTAATGGAAAATTATCGACAATTTTTCAATGAGGATATTTTCAATTGAATTAAGGAAAAGAAGAATTCAATTGAAGGAAGCCTCGATTCGCGCTTGAAAGCACTAATATATTTGTCGAAATAATTCACCAAAACAGGAAAAACACAGAGAAAAAGAAGAATCACCACAAGTATGAACACTTCCATTTCCTATGCAACACTCAATAAAAACCTTAAAATTTTGACTTGTGTCCGTTTGCCACGTCAACGGTTTCATTTGGTAAATCGTCGTTGTCGTTTGAAAATAATAAGTTGAAACAATACGGAAATATACGTGATGAAACGGAAAATGAAAGTTTAGAATTATTTTGTCTGCGCGTTGCAAACTTGAAACAAAAAAAAGACAGTTTAACACTGAATAAGCTTTTTATTATTGTATTATGTTTTTTTTTTGTGTGAAAAAATCAATGTGCGTTATTTACTGGTTTTGAACATCGTTCAATCGCTTCATCGCGCGTCTTACACAACGTAATATTTGGTTTGACTTATTAGTGTTTTCTTTTATTAAACTTTAAAGCAGTATGTAACATAACAAAGACACTCGGCTTTAGAGATGGCCGAGGTAAGTTTTTTTTTTCATTTTGCGCATAAATCAACCACAATCAACGGTGCTTTGATTCATATGTTTTTGGGGCGCATTTTTCCTTTTTTATGATGCGATGTTGTTTCTTCAAATGATTTGAACATAAAGTATCATCAATGGATGTTCATTAATTCTGTATATCATAAAACGGATCAACTCTAAATAGAATTCAATACGTAAAAACAATAATTTTCACAATTTCTTGTCACTTTTTCTTCTTGAGTTTTCATTTTGACTGACTCAACACTGTTCAACACAGTTAATCTTTGGACTGGTTGATATTAATCACCTAGTGTATGACTACTTAGTTAAGTTTAATAAATTAAATTTAATATTGAAAATATGATGGTCGATCTTAAGATGGTCGATGCAAACATTTTACCATCAAGGTTAAAGAAAATAGATCAATTCAATCATCTTTCCAATAAAAACAATGCGTTTTTAATACGATACTTTCGCTTTTTTTCTATTCTTTTGTTCTTTTTCAAATCGAATTCCAATTCGAATTTCTTTTAACAAAAATAGTTCTTAATTTAAAAAAAAAAAGAAGATAGAACGAAGAAAAACAAACGTAAATTTTATATCGACTGAACAAAAAGTGTACGCGCCGAATAAATGAATACTTTCACATTATTCAGTTAGTAGATAAATCTATCAACAATATTGATGTCATCATTACTTTGACCTTGATAATAAATAAAAAAAAAACATAATTTTTTTCGAGACACACAATTTTTTAAAAGAGCGAAAAAAATGCACAACAAATATGTATCAAATAATTGTTCCGTCACTATTTATTGGTTTTTTATATTTGTTTAAGGTAATATGAATTACCGTAATTCTTTTAATATACTTTGTTTCAACTATATTTTTTAATATTTTGTTTCTACAGATTTTTTTGTGGCTTTGGTTTAAATTTCTATTTGTACACACGAGAGCGATGACGCAATAATATTTTATTTTTATTTTGAAATGGTTTATAACTCGTCATACGTTGTACGCTTCGATTTCGGATTTTGTATTTGCACGAAAAATGGTTTGAATGTTTATAGTGTTTGTATGTTTTGCACGCGAGAGTTAGATCTAACTAACTCCCAATTTAACCGTATGTTTTTTTATATCTTGTAGCGTGCACGCTCGTCTTCTTTCGCATTAGCGTCGGATAGAGTAGCATTTTTGGGGGCGACTTAACGCTCCCCTCATTAATATTGTAAAATTTTACTAAATAGAGATTGTTTTTTTGTTTAATTTAATATTTTAGTTGCATTTATCTTTTGTAAATATATTTATTAATTTAATTTTTGTTTAATTTCTCTTCCTATTTTATTATTTTCTAATATTTTGTTGTTGTTTGTTGAATGATGTTGGCGCGATTTCTATGATTAAATTCATAGATGTTTAGCGAGAGAGAAACGATTTTTCGCGTCGCATGATTCAGAATGAGGTTTGAATGAGTGAAATGGTGTGACCTGCACACCAGCACGTTATTGCTTTCACAGGCCAGGACCATTGTATACAAATTCTCTTTAAAGAAAAGAATGCATCGTCCAGTTGTCAAAACAAAAGTTTTCACCAGTTTTTATTACGTTTTCATCACAATTTGGTTCGCATTTTCTTTTTTTTGGTCTGTCGCCATCATTTTTACGAATTGTATTTTTTTTCTTCTAACTTTTGTACGACGTTGTTAATTTAAATATCGATATTTATGGTTGTGATGATGCATTCACTCACAGTTGCTGTGCCCTTCTTTATCAAATTTCACTGAAGTCCCGGTGCTGATGCGGTGAATTGTTGGCTGAAAAGCGAGCACTGGCGATTTACAAATCGTTAAATATCTCCCTATGATTTTATACAACATGGTAGAAATTTTGGTTTGTTGTTGCTGTTTGTTTCTTTTTTTATTATAGACGTCGTATCAAATGCACAAACATGTGTGTGTGATTTGCGCATGTTGCACAATAGATAATTTGTTTAAATTGTTTCTAAGTTTGTTTTACTTTACTTTTTTTCTATAATTCGATTTATTTATGCATTTTGTTTTCACTTTTATTTTGTTGTTGTTGTTCTTTGTTGCCATATTCTTTTATCAATTTAGAATTTTTGGTTTGGAGTTTTCCATTTCATTTTTTTTTATATAATAAATATCTTTATCAATCGGATTTTTCTTTTCATTCAATGAAAATGAATACATGGTTTATTATTGATGCACAACGTTCAGGTTACAACATAAATTATTCAATGGTTTTCATTTTAGTTTATCATAATTTTTTTTCTTATTATTCGTTTGGATTTACCAGATCGGAATCAAATCCGAAATGAACGACTATTTAATGTGCTTATCTATTGCTGCCAGACAATTTGCTGTGTTGTTGTTTTTTTATTATTATTTTTGAGTGTGATAGTTGATGAATTTCAAGATTTCCGGTGGATCATGCGAGCTTTCATAGTCGCAGCAACAGTTCCTCTTGCTTCACGCTGGACTAACTTGAATAACGTATTCCTTCGTGCAGAACGAAGAACCTTATTCAACGTCATCCGGCCGAGCCTTAGAAAGGACTAAATCACTGTTCAAAACAAATATGCGATGAAAATAAATAAATCAAAATCAACTTGAATCGCTTTTATTTAACGAAGACTACAGTTAGCCTTTTCACTAGTTATATTCTAAATTTTGATTTTTTTCTTTGTTTGTTTGATTTAATAAGCACATTAAATGAGTCGTTCATTGTACCAAATTCAAAAGTCTGTATTATTACTGTCGTGATCGTCATTATCGTGGTGTGCTACAGCCAACGACACCGATGGTCCTCCACCAGCAACAGTCATCGATGGTTCAGTATTGCGACGCTTCATTTTATTTTTAATTTTCTTTAGCATTGTTGCCTGTGCGTCGAAGGTATATTTTTTGTTTATGTTCATGTATTTTGTTGTATTAAGATTTGGTTTTTTTTCGTTCGGTTTTGGTTAAGATTTACACATGTATAAATATGCACACACAGTCATCGTCGTCGCCGTCCGGTCCCATGGGAATGTGAGAAGATTCAATATCGATTTATACACACATACCAATATGATTTATGAATAGAGTGTTTTTTTGTTTTGTGGATTTTTTTTGGTTTCGTTCGTTGGTTTCATTTACATAAAATTTACATTTTTGGGTGTTGTTGTATTTTTTTTTTATTTTCAATCATCAAATTGTAATATTTATAGACGTTGATAACATTTAGCAATGGATTTATTTTTTGTAATTTGTTGTTTGTTGTTGTTTGTCAATGTGTAGTGTTTGTAAATGTCATAGAAAAATGATGGAGCAGTTTTCGTGTGTGTGTGTTTGAATGGTTGAGAAAAATGCGGAAGAAAACACAGTTCGGAAAAAAGAAGAAAAGAAAAGAAACAGGAATTTTTGTTTTAATTAAAAAGGGCATTTTGTTGTTGGTGTTGTTGAAGAATTCAATTTTGAAATGTATATAATTTTGTTGATTTTTTTGGTTTTTACTTAACGAGAGATCTTATTTAGGTTTGAACTTAAAAACGATAAAACTTAAAGCAAGAAATTGAAGTAAAAAACACAATAAACCGAAAATGGTTTCAACAACAAACTAAGAAAACAAGACAAGAACCAAACAAAATTATGGCGAAAATTCAATTACAATAAAGACAAAAGATTAAGGGATATAATCAAAGCGATACAAATAAAACACATATTGGCAAATGAAACGTTCGATCCGATCTGAACGAGTAAAATGTTAATTGGTTTAATAATATAATAATTAAGTTAAATATATATTCATGTAAATATACAAATTTAAAGGATAATCGAAATTCAATCCGAGGAATAAAATAATTTCAAAAAAGCCAATCTATACTGAGTTACAGTCAATTCAAAATCCGCTTTCAACAATAATATATAAAACACGGAAAACACAAAATTTCGTATAAATCGAAAAAAAAATACGTTAAAACAAAAGGGTATTCAAGATATAAGGTGAGAATGAGCGAATGCGAAAATATTTGTTTTCTTAGTTTTAAAAATAAGGAAAAAGTTACATTAACCAACACGTTTTTTTTTTCGTTATAAAAATCAATAGTTAAAAATGAATTGACAAAATGTTCGGTTACTCCGAAAATGGCAAAGTCCAAGTCGCAACACAAAATTAGCTAAAAAAAACTGTTTATAGAATTGTGTTTTGTCGAAAGTAAAATTGTCTAAGCAAATAGGTGGAAAATTAAAACTGTCTAGCAAACTATTTGAAAAAAGGTGGAATCTGCTTGGATCTTAAGCCAAAACACTCTCTGGCTAAGAAAATAGTTAATTTTAATATTTTTTATTTAAATTCGTTTCATTTCTTGCAGTCGAAAATAGTTAGCATGTGATTATTTCTATCAATAATGCGTGTGTGAGGTTAAGAATTTAATGCAAACACTTTCAGAGTGGATCGGTTTGAGAGCAGTGTTTTTGTGTGTATAAACTCTACGGAAAAGGGATCTTTTCTTTTAGTAATGTGCGCTAAAAAACTCAATGGTACTATTTTTGGTGTCATCAACTCAATTGAATTGTATCCTGTATGTGTCTGGATGGTCCATTTTATTTAAGAATTGTTATTTTTAATCGAAAAATTGGTGGGTTCAATTGAATTCTTGTACCATGTAACTTGTGTTCTTGGAATTCACTTAAAAACAAGTCTCGAGGTAATGAACAAACCCCGAGCAGAAAACAAACAAATGATTAAAATGAATTACCCTTATTTTGTCAAAAAAATAAATAAAAGTGCAAAGAAACAAAGAACAATTCATCAACTTTGCCATCAAAATCAACAACTGAATCTCAATAAATAAGTACTGTGACGGTGGTTTCATTCTGTGAGTGCATTTCAAAATTAAATTTGAAATGATTTCTTCGCATCGAAACTGCTTTTTGTCTGCGTCTTCGTCCGAAAACGTCGTAAACGTGCGCATTTTTTTCAACATTTCCTTTTTGGTTTTTTTAAATATATTGTTATTTGGCATTAATTTCACTTGCTATTTGTTTATGCATTTCTATAATCGCACGCATTATTTAAACTATGTTCAAAAATTGTCAAATAAACAATATGCAATTATGTTAATATGTATTTTTGTGTGACTAAATAGCAGAATGTTCTCTATTCAATATATAGTTTGTTTACAATAAATGTGTTGTTGTATGTATGTGTTTGTGTGTACACGCAACGGGTGCGGAACATGAGTATCTTTTTCCTGGAAAAATAATCCGCGGAATTCGCAACGCTTTAACTCTTTCGAAATAGTTTGTATACGCCTATATATGGAAACGGAACACGTGCCAAATGTATATGCAAAATAACAACGAGTGGATGCGACAACGAGAAAAAGTGTTAGAGAAAATAGAAACGAGAATTATTTTTGCGTCGAGATTTGGATTTATTTGACCGAAAAAAAATGCCAACGTTCGGCACCCGTTTTTTTTTATTAACAAATATATATATAATTACTCGATTTTGGATTTGCATTGAGTTTGAGCTGAACTTGTCTACATATTTTCATTAGTTTTCGGTTTTGTTTAAATGTCACACAAAATGCATTGTATCCGTATAATTTGTTTGTTTGTTTCGAAATTTAAATTTGATTATGTAATGTTGTGTTATCTCTGTGTGTGTAAATGTCTGTTTTTTTCTCATCGCTTGTTTCCTATTGGCTATTTTTGTTTACTATTTAGATTATTCTGTAGATTTTGGTATTGTTCATTGAACGTTTAAACGAATACGTCTATTTTAAATACACAACAACAAAAAAGCGTTTTTTTATTTTCTCTATTATTTATATTAATAATTGTACTAGTTGTTTTTTTCTGTATTTCGATTAATGTATGGCCTCGCACTTGGCCATCCCATATAGTACGAAAAACTGTATGATTTGTTTTGTGCCAAACTAAATCAGCGTCTCAGTTTTTTTTGTAATATTTTGGTTGTTGTTTCATAGATATATTGAAAGGGTGTCTAGAGGAGGATACAGTGATTCAGAGAAAACAGGAAAACAAAAAACTAGGACCAGACGGACGGAAGCTCTAAGTGCCTGCGTGATCTTTGTCACGATCTCCATTCTCTGGTAACATTGGAGCGGCACCTGTTACAGCAGGTGAAATGTGCGGTTCCGTGAGTCTTCTTTTACTTTTAATTTTCTTCAACATTGTTGCCTATACGAGAGAGATAGAGAGAGATCGAACGAAAACGAAATATATATTTATATATATCAAATTAAAAACTCCAGTTCAGTTTTCATCTTCACTTTTTTTTTGTCAAAAATTAAATTTTCATAATTTTTTTTGTTCAATAAAACAAAAACTTATATATTATATAGATTGAGCACTAGTTTTGATAAAATGAATAAAAAACCAAATCAAAACACATTCAGGGGATATTTGTTTGTTGGTTGATTAGTGCGTGGAATTCGATATGATTGGTTCCAAATTTTTTTTTGGTTTGCGAGTTTGGTGTGGTGAAAGCTCGCCCACCAATTTCGAATACAAAAGCAAAGCGAATGGACAATGGATGTTGAAATTGAAACAGAGATCGATTGAATGGTTGAAATTGCAAAGCGCCCAAGGGTTATTTGTTGTTGCAGGGTGAAGGTATGAAATATATGACAGATTCTCTTTCATTCAAGGGAAAATGTTTTGGTTTTCATTATTCGATGATACAAATGGATACCAATTGATTACGAAATACATAAATGGAATTTGCACAACTTCAATTTAATGGGAAATTCAAATTGCACCCCATAGTTTTGTAAACTTTTTAACGAAATGAAATTGATTTGTGCTATGTTGCAGATATGTACATGTCTGAGTTTTATTATCAGGTTTTAGTTGTCGTCTTGCTTTGTTTTGTAAAAAAGATGAGTGCTTTTTCCGATTTGTTTTTTTAATTATAAATTATGTGCGATTTTTTGCAGTCGATTAAAGTGAAAAATTGAGAACTCGTGCTATGGATTAAATAGATTATTTTAACAAGCTAAATTTTTAAAAATCGCATTATCAAACAGCATTCCCGTAAGTTTAAAATGTTGAAAAAATATCATGAACATTTGTTGATTTTTTTATTACGATTTTTTTCAAATCTCAGTTAAAACAATAAATTCAATGTATAACGATTCTATGTCCAAAAGTTTCTATTTCGAAATTTTACTCTTTATATGAAGTTTAAATAAAATCAACAAATGTTTGATTGTTTGAATTAAGAAATAAAAGCATTCATATATTCATTTGATAAGCAAAGTGATCATGGAAAATGATCGGATTGTGCTTGAAATTATTCGAATATTTCGAAAAATGTTGAATATATCAAATGGTTGTTAAGATATTAAAAAGAGTGGGATTATTGCATGCATAAAATCAGACATATGACTATGATGGATAGATAGCTGCTGAGAATAGCGGCTTACTCAACCGAACTAAGATATTATAAACAATAGAAATGATTGTTATAGTGAGTTTACTGCTATTTCCAGCAGCGGCTATTTATCCAGCATTAACATACGTCTGATGTATAAAATTAAATGTTCAAATTGTCAATCACTCGGCTACGATTAAAGGTGGGTTTGGTTAGTTAAAAACTAAAATTCAAATAAAAACGCGCAATATTTAAGCATTCCTCGTCCAGACACACAAAACAGGCACACACACCTGTGATAGGGTTATCAAAAATTCAGAGACAGAAAACTGAAGAAAAACTAGAATTGTTATATCGCTTTGAATAACGTAAAACCCAATCAATGAGAATCGAACGAAATTAAAAGAAACAAAATCATAAAACTAAAAACTAAATCAAATCAAGTGCTAAAGGGCCAATGGTTTTCTTTTGTTTTTCTTTCTCGATTGTACGAAATAGTTTGAATGTACTGACCTTTAGAGCTGAATTGAACACGACCACTTCGCCAGGTGGTTGAATCCATGGTTCACCTGAAAGATAGCGAGGAAAAACGTTTATTCCGATGAACAGTCGAATTCATTCAAATGATTGTGGGCTCATTACGCATTTCATTTTTTTGACAATTCATAAAACTATCATCTTGTGACCGAGTGATCCAAGTAAAAAACGAAGGCACAAATAAATGACATATAAAAATAACTCACCGTCAACTTGCACCGGAATGTCCGAGTGCGAATGGATTTTGATGTGACCACCCTTCATTTGGAAAGAGAGAAAAAAGAACAAAGCATTGAATATACATATTCAAACTGGCTATTGACAGATTTTCGATGGTTACCTGCGCAATTCGAATGGCTGATCGAAGGCCAGACTGAATTTGTCCCAAGTGCACAACGCCAGTTACACCGACCACTTCAAGCATACCATCCCAATGGTTTGGTTTCGAGAATTGATCTTCTTTTTCTGGTCCCCATGGATTTGCTCCACTTCCCCAGCTGCAACCACACAAAATGACACATAAAAATTCCACCATTGAACATGTAAATCGAATGATGAGTTTTTTGCTTACCTTAAAATATTCAGAATAATAATTCCTTCAACTGGAGGTAAGTCAACGACTTTACCGTCAACTTCTAAGCGTAGTTCTTTGTGCAATTCTTTGACAATTTTCCGGCCAACCATTCGACGTAAGCCCATTTTGAAATAGACACCTTTGTTGTGTATGCGTGAATTAAATTTGTTTGGATTCTCTTCGCGTGCGTTATGGAAGTCGAGACAGAGATCAGCATCGATACCAATGCCAAAGTAATTATTCATCACCAAAATTTGTGAATTATCCTCGCTCTGTGTTGCTCCGGTCACTGAATTTGAGTTAAAAGCAAATAGAAATATTCAATATATTTGATATCAACCGTACACATTGTATACACATTGACATTTCGGGGAATTTTCTAAATTATCTAAAACTAGGGGGACAAATTTTGATCATTGAATTGAATCGATTTGCATAGTCTCCACAAATCGACATTCAATTTAACTTAAAATATGAATAGGACGGATTTAACGTGAAATCGTTTTCTGTTACGGAATCGATTTTCATTCATTCCGAAGATTACGATTCTACTGAAAAATCATACCATATGTATATTTTGTACAAAATGAAAAAAAAATGGAATTTAAAAATTGATCTTGTTCATTTTCACACTTAAAAAAAAATGACCCATTAAGCACAACATCAACAAATCTTGCATGATTTATGATTCTGTCGCTGGACATTTGAAATTGATTGGATTCTGATAGATCCATGTAATGCATTTTTTATGTACATTTAATGAGGCGTATCTTTTTTGTTTGTCTGTGGTGCTGGTGGTGGTGATGATGGATATTTTCTCATGCTTTGCACACATTGACGACTATTTACAGAGAATTTGCGTAGATAGAGTGTTTTTTTATTTGTTCAAATAGCAGAGAGATAAATGACATGTATAGAAAAAAGAGAGAATAAAATAAAAGCAATTGATATGTACAAATTAAAAGCACTTGATACGGCGTACCACACTCGATTCGAAAAAAGATAAAAGTAAAACATCTAGAAGATTAGGTCAGCACACTTAAGTACAGAGAATTTATGTAATACTGTTTTTTCATCTCGGATTGAAGTATTTGGACGTTTGTCAGGGGAATTTACAAATTAAAAAAAAAAACAACAAATTCACGTGGTTCCCCTTAGTTTGGAATTAAAGGTAAAAAATGGCGTGAAAAAGGTTGTATCTAAAATATTGCATATCTTAAAATACTTATACTGCCAAGTTTCAATAACAATAAATTGTTAAACAATATTTTGCAGTGACGGCAGTGAAGTAGTGTGTTTTTATTGTGAAGATATGTGTGTGAAGCAAAAATTTGCGATGTCAAATGACCTTGTGGCTGATTATTCGACGGAATGGCCGGAGTTTGATGCTGATTCTGTTGTGATGGCTGTGCTTGATGAACCTGCTTTTTCTTCTTACCAGCACTCGGTGGCGCTTTTTGCGCTGCATCTTCTGGTTTATCTTCTGGATGGAACACAACGGTCCATCGATCTAAGCGTATTTCATCGGCATCAATTACATCGCGCAACAAATTTAACGGATCCTCACCGCCGGTATAGCCCGGTCCCCAGCGCAATACACGCGCCAAATCGTTACCTTTTGATGACACAAAATTTTATTTTTGTTTGTTTAAAAAGTGGATTTTCCATATTGTAACATTAAAAATGGAAAAAAAATGTCCTTACCTGTTCCCAATGGTACAATAGCACACGGTGGGCTTGAACATTCGGAATCTTGTCCAACATTATCCAAACATTGTAATACCCATCCGATGGTACCGTCACCGCCGCACACCAAAATTCTATAGTCTTTAATGTGTCTAAATACGTAGAGACCGGGCAATGGTCCGCCATTATCTAAATCGAACACTTGATACGGATTCAATAATTTTCGGAAGTTGGATATCAATTCTAAGCCTTGACAACCGCCAGATTTTACATTAACAAATACTAATAATGGCTGTACACCAGCCGGCACCATGCTCGGTTCAATATTTGGCAACAATAACACTTGTAATTTCTTCTCTTCGACAATGGTTTCGCGTAAATTATAGAATGCACGCACCGCTTTGGCCGCATTTTCAAATGTAATCACCACCGAACCGTATTCATAATAAATGGGTCCGATGCTTGAATATTTATTTTCTTCGGTTGTGTACTTTGTTATGATTTGCTCATAGTTTCGCTGCGATAGAGCTTGAGGTAAATTTCCAATGAATAGTGCAATATTTGGACCGTGCGGATCTTGTTTATGTTGTAAATAGAATCGCATTAGTTCCATTTGACGAATTGAATCCTTGCCTAATTGTTTCATTATTTGCCATGGTTGTTCGCTAAGCGATAGTATGCGCTCACTTACACCACGATCTAATAACACTTCCGAACACCTGAAAAAATTTGTTTAATGAGTTGGTGGATTTATTGTTGCGAGAATATTTTTTATTGAAAAACAAACCTGTAATCCTCAATTTTATTATCTTGTAGTCCAAATCTATTCAATGCATCACGAACTAAGTCATTCACAGTGGTTTCATTATCCACTGGTACATTAACAAAAGCATCTTCGATTTGCAATTGCAATTTTCCCGGATAAACACGAACGAATCCATTGTCGTTTTCATCACTACAAAATAAATTCAAGTAAATTGAGTTAGATTCCACTCTCTCTCACTCCGACGACATTATACTTACAGAAACCTGAGAAATATTGCTGGTCGTTTGCCTTCAATGCGATGTAAATTCAATACAGGATGTGGATCTTGAACGCGCACTTCTTCATTGCCGAGCGCATACAGATCGGTTAAGTAGAATGCATTTGGATCGCGTGTTATGTGAAATGCTCGCAACGATGTGGTCAACAATTGTTCGAGTGTACATTGACGTGGTACGGTTATTGCTCGGAAAATGCGCCGTCGTAACGATAAATTACCGTCAAACACTTTAATCGTTTCTTCGTCACGTTCTTCTTTCTCTCTGTCACGTTTGTTATCGCCTTTATCGGATTTATGTGTTGATTCGGTGCGCGAATGCGAACCAGAACCACTGCATTCCGGTCGCGATGCATATTCTTCATCACGTAAACGAGCTGCATCACCGCTACTAAACTCTTCAGATATGCTTCGTGCTATGATGTGCGCGTGATGATTGTGCCACAAAACAAAAAAATAAACGACAAGAAGAAGAAGAAAAAATATCGCACATATAAAAATTGATATAAAAATGCAAATCACACAAAAACGAATTAATGCAGAAAAAAGTGCCGTCTAATGTTCGTGTTAGCGATTAGAGACTGGAAAATCATTCTTACTTCAACTATGATCTATAAACACTCGTGAAAACTACTACTATTCAAATCATTCGATTAGTGATGCCAACACACAAAATAAATTGATTAGACTCTCAAATCGTTCAAAACACACAAAGAAACGATCGCATTGATTTTTAGTCAGATTCACACAGTTTGTTATTTGTTCGAAATACTGAGACAAAAAAAAAATTAGTTCAAAAAACCCAAATACGAATGATAGAGAAGGGGGAATGGTTCACCTCTGGTTCGTGATTTATTTTTTGATTTTCGCCATGGCATTGAAAATTTGCGCATACGTCGAAATATTCGACTCAATATATGACCGCTACGAATTTTATGATGATGACGTTCATAATTTAAATCACTTGAATTCAACGGTGCCGAGCAATAATTCGCTTTGATTTTCCCACTTGGTTTTGGTGTTGCTACCGATTTGTGATTAATGAGCGGCGTTGCACTGGCGTCGGTATCTTCAATGGTAATTTCGATGTTATGATGTGAAATGGTTTTGCTCAATTTGTAATCATCGTTAAATGCATCATTATGACGCATTCCTCGTGAAGAAATGTAAAATCGTGCCTGATTCGATTTTCGTACGTCTTGCTCTTGAAACGATTTACTTCGTGAAACGGACGCATCTTTATGAAAACGACCTTTGACGGCCGAATGATATTTGGGCGAATCTTTACGTTTTCGTTGGTCCGACGTTGATGAGGTGGCCGATCGATTTGTGCCACAACTACTCGCATCTGACAATGTGCTCGATGATGATTTTCGACAATTTACCGCTAAATCTAATGTATCCTTTTTCTTATTACTATTATCATTATTGTTGTTGCTACTAATATGTTTCGTAATATCTACAATATTTAAATCACAATGTCGCCATGTGTCATCATCGCATCGAATGTGTTCATTTTGGCATCCGCTATCAATCGATTCTTTGGAGTATTTTTGCTGCATATTATTGGGATTTATTCGAAAACTATTTTCGCTGGTGTTTGGCGTTAGTTCAAGCTGTCGAATTGACAATTCACTATCGGTTGTTGCATCACACAGTCCAATCGTTCGAAGTTCAGCTACATGTCATCGTTCATTTTGAAAATATTTTATCAATCAGTTTTTTATTTTGGAAAATTTACTTTGTAAAATGGTGAATGCATTGAAGAAAACGTTCAATTATACGATTATATTTGATAAAAATGAAGAAGATAAATATTGCACGTGTGTTGCATCTGTTTCATTGGTTTTTTCGGTTCGATTTTCTTCTTCAACTGAATTGCAAGAGATTTCTTAAGCCATATTGGCGACAAGATTTCTTAAGCAAACGATTCGGAATTTAGATGTAATATACTTACGGCATGAGTAGTCTCTTTGCAGTGGAGTGCTTCTCGACCTAACTTGAACACCGATAATGGCTTCCATAGGTACTTCGGTACGTGGAATCGAAACGGCATGCGGTGGCAGATAAATCGGTTGCAGTATGCCAAATGTGCAATCGTTTGAAATATAACTGCGACATCCTGAATGCGTTGTCATGCCACACCATTCGCAGCGATATCCTGGATTTTGTGATTTTTTTTTGTGAAATTCACATATTATTCAATTTGAACACGTTTTTTTTTTTAATTTCTGTTTTGTTAAATTCAATTACACACCTGTTAAACATTCTGTGGACCAACATGATTTTCTGCAATAAGAACATTTCGATGTCTGTGGAAGATTCCCTTCTCGCCAATGATGCTGTAATTCAATTAAAAAAAAGTTTAATTCAATTCGAATATCACGCCGTTTCGATAGAGTGGGAAAAGGAATTGACGAAAAAACTCAGAGCGCTTGCACTTACTTGATGTTTTACGGATGACAATTCTTTGCCTGGAACATATGTGGCATTCTCCTTACAATCGGGAATTGCAAAATCTTGGCAATCGACATGTGCGAAATATTCGCATACTATTGAATCGCAAAATAAAAGCGAAAAAAATAAGTGAACGATTTTGATTATTAATTGAAATCGTTTTGAAAATTCAATTGTGAATGTGAACGATACTTACTCATACAATGAACAGCTGGTGATTCATCGAATCGTTTTCGGCATACGGTACAAAATTTTCTCTTGTGATGCGTTGGTTCCGACCAACAATGCGCTATGGGATTTTTTATTATACATGGTGCTACGCTCGAACAAGGTGTCACAACGCTTGGAATACATTTTTCGTGCACGATGAAGTTACACACTGCAAAAAAGAAGAGAAAAAAAACACCAAAATATTTAGCAATACTTTTTTTTTACTGCTTGACGTATGATGTCAGAGAGAATTTATTTTTTAAACGCAATTGTATAAATTATTTTCCACGTCAATTCCGTGTAGAATAGAATAAAAGCTTGTCACACACCAAGCGACACTAAATCTATTTATCCAAACGGGATATGTCAATGGCGTACGTGAGAGACAGACAGAAGGAGAGAGAGAGAAAGAGAAATAAGGTGATATTTCGATTGTTCGGTATCGCAAAGTCTGTCGTGTTTGCACTCATATCCGTTATAATTGATGAGAATCAATGAAAAGTGGGTAAGACAAACATGTGCACATGGCTTTGTTTTCTCTAGTCAAAGTTTTGCAAAATTTATTTATTAAGATCCATGAAAAGCCCGAATGACAGAAATGCCATTCGAAACAAAAGAGTGAAACAGTATGAATTGTTTTCCATCACAGCAGACAACAATAAATGATTGGCGTAACATCACAATGCATCGGAAACTAATCGATTGTTCAAAAACAACTTTTACATAATGCAATTGTGTTGAAGCGACACAGAACAAAAGAGACTGATTCTCTTTCTCTCTCATACACTCACTCTGGGGGCACTTTGTATGGGATCAATCACACATGTACATCTGCAATGCTGTATGTTCGTTCGAGTAAACTTTCATTCAACATTTCATACACCTCAGAGCCTCAATTTTATGTTGTTTTATATTTCATGGGTTTCAGTGCATCACAAAGGATTCTTTACGGGAAAATTTAATAAAGCGAAATATTTGATTAAAAATTCACCAGAATCAAAAGGCTGAAAATTCAATTATATTCGTAAAGTGAGCGAACGAACAAACAAGAGAACGAACATGAATTGAATGAGTATTTTTGAATGTGGCCTATTTCATCATGAATGTTGAAAACTAAGTTAAATTAAATAATGAATTTGTTTCTCTCCGTTTACGAGTCAAAAAAAAGTACACACTATTTTCGTTTCGAAAAAAATAAACATTCACCACACACTCGAAGAAAAAAAGGAGAGCAAAGTAAAAAGAAAAATTCAATCGAAAAAAAAGTTGCTGAGTGGAGAGCACATATAAGAGATTCCATTAAAAAAATTAACATTGATGTAGTTCGTGCAGAAAGGCACGTACAGAAAAATGAAGAGATGAAATGTATACGATACGAAATCACGATTGAACGAAATAACACGAAAAAAAAACTAGGCCGGTGACCTGATGGCTATGACGTCATCACGAATCGAACGCACACAGGCGCGCACACACACACTAATTCAATTGTACAGCACGAAAACCCGAAAAGAAGCGCTGTAGCAAGCGCACATGAATTCGGGAATCGGGAATCCAGCAATGGTATATAATGATTTTGGTTGGTATGAGTGTGCGTGCATCATCAATTGTATACATACAATCCAACATGGATTCATGTGCTTCCCTCACCGTGCCACGATATTTTTGAATGATTTTATCATCAGCGAAGCGAATACAAAAGACGGATACGGGATAAATCGGGATACATGTTGGATAACAACCGAGCATTTTATCTCTTTGTATTTGTGTGTTCGTGCGTATGTATGCGTGTACATTTGATTCGCTTCCCATTCTGTGCTGCTAACGTCACAAATGCGAAAACTTTGTAGCACATAGTGTTTGCTGGAACACATAAAGGGAATATGGTACGAAATTATGAAAGAAAGAGGCAAACGTTGCCGAATAGAATGAACCAGTAAATTTTGTGCAAGTAATTTCAATGTGTACCAACATTTTATATTCACTTAGTAAATTTCGCATAAGCATCGTTCAAAATGCAAATAAGTAAACTAAACATTTACTCGTCGTCATCGTCGCTGTCTCTATTTCTATAATATTAATCTATATATAGCGTGCGCCCAATGCATGTTTAATTGAATATGTGAGAAGCGGAACAGCAAAAACTTTTTCTACATGCATTCCATTGAGGATTTCTCTTTTAGTTGGGCAATTTTTTGTGTTGTGTTTTTTCCACTTGTGTCCGAGCTCATGTTATCACCAATGTATATTTTGGTATATGTATGGACAAACGATAACGCATATCACAAGTGTTATGCTTTTCATGAGCTGTGATTGAATGAAATGAAGAGAGTCAAAGAGGGCAGGAGAGAGATTTTAAGAGAAAGAGAGAGCACCAGTATTTCATACTTAGAAATATTGGTCGTTTTTGGCCTTTCTGTTTTAAATGGATTAACTACTTGTCGATGTGGCATCATTTTGTGGTTGCTTTTCAATTGAAATTTCCATTTATATTTAACCTATTATTTCCTTTATTCATTTCATACATATTTTAGTCATGCATATGCACAAAAACCTTTCCTCTCTTCTTTCTCTATTCATTTAGTTCATATCTTAATTCATGAGTTTGGAATTGAACAGAAAAAAACACACACACAAAATTTCAAAGGCCTGAACCAAAAACGACCGACTCGTTTCATTCAATTTTCATTGGAGCGATTGAAAGAGAGAGAAATTCCGACGTCGACATTGGAGTATGGCTTTGAGAGAGCGAGAGCTTGACAATTTTCCAATTTATTTTTATACCAAAGGTGACTTTTCACTCTAATGCCTTCAGGCATTAATTTTGAAAAGCCATGGATGTGATGAAAACTTCATGCACAATAAGACAAAAAAAGAGATAGAGAATCAGTAGCTTTACAGAGAATCCTAACACCGTAAAAGGCGAGGATAATATTTATGTAACGAGTTTGTCATTTATGAAGGATATGCTAAGCCAATGTTCTCGAGGTTGCATTCAGAACGCGTCGAACTGAAAATGTCTTTAAACTACACACCAACATTCGCTCATAGATCGTATACAGACTTCAATTACATATTGTGTGTCACACACACAAGGCAAACGTCTATTTTTAGAATGGAAATAAAATGGAAAACATAACAATATACGGAAATCAACAAATTACATTACATGTTCTTCAATTCTCGGTTCATGTGAACCTCTGGAACAATTGAGCATCAATAAGAATAGAGAGCTGATGAAGTTTTTCTGCTACACATACACACATCACATCACAGACAATATATTTAGCTGCCGTCATCTGGATATTTCAGCTCATCTGGATGCCGTCAGCAGATGATGCGAAGTGAAAACAATAGAAGTGATTGTTATAGTAATACCAGTATATAACAAGCTTATATACCTATAACAATCACTTCTATTGTTTTCACTTCGTATCATCTGCTGAAGATATCCAGATGAGCTGTAATATCCAGATGACGACAGCTAAATATATTGTCTGTCACATCATGATGTCACAGGAATTGAATTGAAATATATCGCATTGAAAAGGTGCATCAAATCTCTATCTTTTTCATATGGATGCATTCAATTCATCGTGAAAGCGTCGAGCTTTATCCGTAAATTGAGTGTCATTATCGCTGTTGTATCTCTCAACTATGTATGTTTTTCAAAATGCCATGTCCCATTCACACAAAATCGAATTGGGTGCGGATTTATGTAACACAACTTTAAATCGAATCATTTAGTTGCAGCGAAATTTGCTGAAAAACCGAACAAAACGAGATTGAGTCAATTTTCGCTTTCGGGCGGATCTAATCAAATTATACCAATGAATCTTGTCAATTTTCCGGGACAAAAAAGTGCACTTCTTCTCTCACATTCTTCTTAATTTTCATTTTCTATCGATTCTTTCTACCGCTTTTTAGGTGCTCATTCATTCAATGAATAATTTTCCATATGATTGCTGCACTTTCTTCGTCTTTTTCTCGCCTGGCAGAATCAGGAAGAGCTGTAATTTATCGCTTCATCGATTTTGTGTTGGCATAGCATCGATATTGGATCGGGTGCATCGGCAATGGTTTCATTTTATTCGTACAAATGTAAGAGAATGAACACCAATGACACAACAGCAGCGCCGAATTGTTGCACATCACAATGAATTCAACATCCGATTTTCACAATAATTTCTTCCTTCTCTTCATCCGTTCGTTCATCACTTCGAATTGTAATAACGTTGTCCAATTATAATAGGGTTTTATGTACAACAACAAATGAGCTTTCGTGTTTGCGTTCGCACACACACACACACTGATATATATAAACATAAATCGTAGCAAAGAAAATCGTCGCTCAATCTACTTTTGACCTATTTGGAGTATATATGACATAATTTATTGGTGGATAACATTCAGCCTTCTACTGAATTGGGAAACAGACGACGGGAATACATTCGCTCACAAAAATCCATCGTTCCTTCACTCTCTCCCCCATTTCTCGTACACGCTCCCGACTCTCCAGTACATAAAGGCGCGCAATGACGTCAACAACTTATGAACCAAAACTGTTATGAGAGAGATTTAACCCCGTCTCGCTTCTCACTTGCATTATTTCTCCCCTCTCTCTCTCTTTCTCCCATTCTCGTAACACACAATTCCACATGAAAATCTATTTTCATTGAAGCACACGGAACGAAACTACAAATAAAATGTGTGTACCGTTCACATTAAGTGCTTGTGAAAAGCAGCTCATGAGCTCTTTTTCGATTACGACAATTCAACATTGAAGTAGAAAAAAACGGCAACAATTTTCTTGTACTACATATTGAGTGACTTCGTTTATTTTGCGTTTTGTTTCACTAGCTAATAAAAGTTAATTAGTTTTAATATTATTTGCGAGAAGAATTCGGGCATTTCAGGCGCAATCGAAAAATTACAGCACGAAAATAAGTTATTTCAAATAATTGTTGAAATAAAATTCAAATGTCAACTTGGATTTGAAATGCTTCATGCTCTGCCGTTTTACGTTTTTCTAAAAATGAAATTGGATATACGTAAAACACAAATTAACGTAATTTGTGCGTGATGTTTTTGGTAGCTAAACAAAGAGAAAGGCAACGATTCGATTTTAGTTACATTTGACCCAAATAAAATTCAATTTAAAAGTGATTT